TGCAATATGGCACCAGAGATAATTAATGGTAAAAAGTTGAAAAAATATAATTAAAATGACAAACTAAAAATAAACGAGAAAGAAAAACCCAAAAGAAACAACAACATTAAACCTTTTAGAAAATCAAGAGTTAAGTCAACATTATGGTTCATGTTGGTAATCTACGAGGAAACTGCCACCAGGAGTTAGGGTCTGGTTTAGTCCATATAGTAAGTACTCGTACAAATTTTACTTCAATTATAAGTAGACCGCTATTTTAATTATTTTAGTTTTCTACTAATAAGTCACCTGTAGGATAGGCATGAAGGGTGAGAGAAATTGTGGGGCAAGAGTGAAAACTGATCATATGACTCAAAATGATGTCGGAGTTTTGTACGTGAATTAATTAATTACTGTAAATACTACTAAAAAATCTGCAGTCACGTATGTCGGCTGTTTGTCTACAACCCCACCCATTCGGTCCGTGAGTACACAAAAATGTAAATTACCTGTACTCCATAATGCTTCAAATAAAGTATTTTAATTTTGGTACCTGATATTAAAATAAGTACTTTCGTTTAATATGGTAGGGTCTGCCTCTGGCCAGGAAGTTAGGTAAGATAGGTAGGTTTATCGGTTGGTTAGGCCAGTTCTAGTAAATGTTGCCTCTAAAATACTTTCATAATAATAATGTTAAAAAAACAAACAGGAAAAAAATGAACAAAATCTTAACTCGTCCTAGTGGCAACAGTGTTCTGCTGAAGCATTATACCTTCATGTTTAAGCAGCTGACCGGGGTTATTTAAGGTGACTGATGTAAGATTTAATTTTGTTAGGAAAAAAAATAATCACAGGTAATTGGCGATAAAAGTGGTAAAAAACAATAAGCAGTAGCCTCAAATATATTAGGTATGTTTTGGCCATAACCTGTAAACTACATCTATCATCACTGTTCCAGCCTCTGATGCTTAGAACCAATATGGGGAAGACCTTTATCAGACCTTCCTCATGTATATATCAGACCTGCCACATGTATATATCAGACCTGCCACATGTATATATCAGACCTGCCACATGTATATATCAGACCTGCCACATGTATATATCAGGCCTGCCACATGTATATATCAGGCCTGCCACATGTATATATCAGACCTGCCACATGTAGAGATATAATAATGGTACACATGGCAGTGACGAACCCTCAGTAAAGTACCACAACAAGGAGGTAAAAATCATTGCTTAAGTCAGTCAGTCAGTCAGTCAGGGTTAACTAATGCAACATAATAGTAAATATTGGTGAGCTGGAAGTAATAGTCAACAGTTAAAGCGGTGATCCATCAGGGCCACGACTCCTCTTATCACGTCTGAAAAATACGTCTACTGCATTAATGTGACGGACATTAAACAATATTAATCTAAACAAACCTCCAATAAGTATTCCTCGGCATAACACTAGCAGTAATATAACCACGGCCTTTTAAACTTACTACGCCATTCATAGCGGACTTTAAACTGTACCAGCCAACATTTAAACTGGTCCATTCCACTCACAAATTTAACTCCCTTAAATTAATTGTATTTATAGTACATGGAATTCTGCTTGTTTATTGTTAGAAAATCATTATTATAAAATGTTGTTATACTTGACTTTATCCTCTGTTATACCGTGTTGACAAGAACTGGCTGTTACACTATTGGCAAGTATTAGGTGTTGGATTACGACTGAATTTACGTAGAAATTATAAACTGGCAAAACGTGTAGATCAAACCTAACTATCTTTAAACATATGGCCACAAATACTATACCTTACGGCAGATGTGGAGAGCAAGGAGTAACGGAATAAAAGACATATTGTAACCTGTGTCACATTATTCCACCCATAGACTTGTGAACTCTTGGAACAATCTGCAAGAGAGAGTTTTAAACAAGTGACCGATTTTTCCCAATATACTCTATGTCCATAATGTGGGTAAAATTAGCAGTTTCGGCCAATATGCCCTAGTAGTTTAGAAATTAGTTTACCCTGTGTATTTTGGGGCGAATTAATCGAATTTGACTCTTATTCCGGGAGGGGGAATACCCGAGTTAGTTATCACCCAGAAGTATGGAAAAAATTTTAAATCCATTTCCTGTTATTTTTCTTTGCCCTCGAGGTTGAAATGGGGTGAGAAATACTCCCAATAAAACCATGTACAGGTTGGAGAGGTTAAAACAGTCGGTGGGGCAGACAACACCCATGTGGTCAGCCCACCACCTCTCCCCCACCTTACATGTTTAGTTAAAAAGTTAATGGTGGGCTTCTATTTGACGAAGGGTCGTTAAAGTTCTTAAATTAAGTCACTCTGGAGACTTTAAATGCAATACATAATGGAAAAATAGATCTAACTACTTGGCTGGGTCGTAAACTATCCTTGTAATGGTTAACGACGCTAAGCGGTTGTTACCTCACGAAGCCGTTTACACAACACTAGTAAATCAACCTATTAAACATTATCAACGTATCACTTTATATCCTACAAGTTATTGATTGTAAAATTTATAAATAATTAAACTTTCCCTGGACGTTCACAAACTGTATAACGACACCGCGTCTAATTACACTGTGCCAGCCTCCAATTGACCCACATAAACTCCCCACATCTGGCCAATCAAGAAATATAATAGGTAAAAGTTATACTTACCTTACTTCTGAGGTTAAAGTAGTCTTAGTTGGTGGAAAACCGACGACTCCCGCAGAGAAAACTTTCGATCCTCTCACTACCACACCCGTCGAGCAACTGACCGGCGAGGTTGTTCACCGTGTTCCTCCTTCGTCCTCCTCGAATCTCTCTCTCAGTTTCAGGCCGCAGGTTCAGTTCAGAAGTTACTGGTTTATTATTTATTTGTACATTAATTATAACTACAACTTTATTTATTTATACAACAAGAATTCTATAATCACAGTGTTATAAATTGACGTCAAAATGGTAAACGTTTTCTGTGGGTGATGTTGATATAGAGAATGGGTTATGCTTGGGTAACTAAAATGTTTTATTTGTTATACTGGTGATAAGTCATATGCAAGTGTAATATTATCGTTTATACCTCAAGAAGTATATCTAAATATGTAAATAAGGCCTAACATTAAAAAAAAATGCAACTATGCCACATATTTAGCACAGCTACAGTATACACGTATTTTTATATGAAAGTATGACTAGGTTAAATAAATTCAAGATTATAATAAACAGCTTGGCATAATTTATATAAGCCATGAAATTTTGTTCTTAGCCTTAATAATAGAGAACAAAATACATTAAAAGGGAACTGTGTACACTCAGAAACCAGATTAGTAAACAAACAAATTTACCTGGTAGAGAAGCTGTCACCTGTGCCAGTTATAAACTATACTCTACTACAGTACCGTTACCTGTGTATGGGAAGCAGCAGGTGCAGGTATGTGCTTATTTTAATTCAAGTAACTAATTTTCTAAAGCTAATAAAGCAGCAAAAGCTAATATACGGCTGGTGACTGTCAGTGGTGACCGTCAGTTTTTGTAAAGCCAAGTGCAATGTAATGCTTGTTGTATTATCAGAAAACCTTCACTATATCTCCTGTAGCCAAACTCTTACTGATTCGAGACCTAGCCTAAGAAGGACCCAACTGTAAATAGGTATCTGATGGCTTTGTCAATTATCAAGTCTTTGAATCTGTCTAGTTACCGATCGCCCGGGCGGCTAGCGAGCCGATCAGTGGCGAAGAGGATAAAAGTAAAAGTAAAAGAAACTTACAGAAGTGAAACACAAGAGACAGACTGATGACAGGAGGCTACATCACCAGCACCACCAACACCAGATGGCTACATCACCACCACCAGATGACAGAAGGCTATATCACCAAAACCAGATGACAGGAGGCTACATCACCACCACCAGATGACAGGACTCTATTGTCAAGTATCAGTAAAGAAGGAAACTTTAATAACCATCGAAAATCTGTCGTATTTGGTAGTGTCACCCTGAATAACGCCCTTCTCACATCTGTCCCCGGCCGAGGATTGAACATAGGACACAAGTGAGAGATATTGTACTTTACTCTTACTTTACTTTATTCTCTACGCCTCTGGTCGGCTTGTTAGCTCCTTGGGCAGTTAGTCACGACTCAGTTACACACTGTTGGCAAGTACTGGGCATGCACTGGCTCTAGAATGTATCTGTTCCTACACCACTGGTCTCACACTTGGCGTCAACACCACACTCTGGCAGATTGTCCCAAGAGTTCACAACCTTCACTCCACAATTTCTGAACTTGTGGCTTCTTCAGCCTTAAGCTGAACACTCGACTGAGTAATGTCCTCTGAGGTGCTTATAGACTTCTGCTAATCACTCCTTACTTGGCTATAGTATAAGATAGGCAGTTGCAGGTGTTCTAATCTCTGGGTATCTGAGGTGCCTTAGTGTTGGCACCAGTCTGGTGGCCCTCCTTTGGACATTCTAATCAACTGACTGTCTCCAGCATAATTGAAGGACCAGTACCCCAGGTAGGGAGGAACCTCATTTGAAGTGCATTATAAAGGAGAGACCATCCAGTTATGTGAATGCCCTTCTTATAAGACCCACTACCTTAATTGCTTGACTTACCCTCTTCTCACAGCGGTTCGAGAACTTGTGTTCGTTCTCTCTCAGTTAATGATACGCCTCCTTACTGTTGATATGACCTAAGTGCCTTGTTTTGCCTATCATGACGATGCCTCTTAACAGCCATTCCTTTGCCCACACCTGTGACTGACTAAGATCTTCCTGTAATGCTTCTCAGTTTGTTTGGTTCTTAATTTCCCTGAATAACTCATCATCATCTGCAGACACCTGTATGTTGGTTCATATTCGGCTCTTCTGTGATCCTATACTAGTTGATATAACAATTGTCTAAACACTTCTACAGGACAGAAAAAAAACATACTCTTGATATAAATAAATATAAGATAATTTGTATTAACTTACATTACTAATTTATATTCAGGTATAAAACAAAATAATCTTTAAAGGAAATATTCTTTATTTTGTTAAAGTTCAGGTTTAACAAATACTGTAAATGTTGACAGCTGAAGCACAATTACGTCACAGGCTTCTCCTCCACACCACACAACTACGTCACAGGCTTCTCCTCCACACCACACAACTACGTCACAGGCTTCTCCTCCACACCACACAACTACGTCACAGGCTGCTTCTCCTCCACACCACACAACTACGTCACAGGCTTCTCCTCCACACCACACAACTACGTCACTTATGCTGTCCTAACTTTCACCAGAAGCTTCACTGGTGCCCTAACTTTCACCAGAACCTTCACTGGTGCCCTAACTTTCACCAGCACCTTCACTGGTGCCCTAACTTTCACCAGAACCTTCACTGGTGCCCTAACTTTCACCAGAACCTTCACTGGTGCCCTAACTTTCACCAGAACCTTCACTGGTGCCCTAACTTTCATCAGAACCTTCACTGGTGCCCTAACTTTCACCAGAACCTTCACTGGTGCCCTAACTTTCACCAGAACCTTCACTGGTCCCCTAACTTTCACCAGCACCTTCACTGGTGCCCTAACTTTCACCAGCACCTTCACTGGTGTCCTAACTTTCACCAGAACCTTCACCTGTGTCCTAACTTTCACCAAATCCTTTGCTATTGTAATTTTCACCATAAGTCTAACATAAACAACAACATCAAGCGTGTCAGTATTTTCACAGTAAACATCTTAGAACATAAATTTTCACTATCTTAAAAAAAGCTTTATTTTCAGCATACATCACTACCCGTCCATAACTTAATGTTGTAATATCACAGTGAGTCTTCTGGCCACATCAATACAGTGTTCAAATGTGTCCAATTGATTATAAACAAGTCTGCCTGCTGTTATCACTGCGCTTTAATACTTTTATCCTCTTCGCCACTGATCGGCTTGTTAGCCGCTTGGGCGATCGGTCACGTCTCTTCCTTTATATTCTTCACCAAAAGGTCGGCTCGCTAGCCGCCCGGGCGATCGGTCACGTCTCTGTCACGCACTGTTGGCAAATACTGGGCATGCACCGGCTCCTGAATGTACCTGAACCCGCTCCAGTGTTGGTCAAGTCTTCTCTTGAAAGAGCTCACACTCGGTGCCGTCACAACACTCTCTGGTAGATTGTTCCAAGAGTTTACAACAAGGAAGGTTTTCAAGTGCGTAGCAGAGTTAAGCAGACACTAGTCCAACAAATGTGAGAGATAGAGCTCTCTAAGTCTGCCAAGATCACTACACCCATTTTTATGGTGCCCACTGTACACAACATTCATGTAATGTTTATAATGATTATTGCCGCAGCATCACCATCACAGCTCACGAGGATGACAGACCAAACCATCTCCCCAACTGAAGAAGGAGCCGACGCAGGGACACTTAAAAAGCTCCTGAAGAAGGAGCCGACGCAGGGACACTTATCACAGCTCCTGAAGAAGGAGCCGACGCAGGGACACTTATCACAGCTCCTGAAGAAGGAGCCGACGCAGGGACACTTATCACAGCTCCTGAAGAAGGAGCCGACGCAGGGACACTTAAAAAGCTCCTGAAGAAGGAGCCGACGCAGGGACACTTATCACAGCTCCTGAAGAAGGAGCCGACGCAGGGACACTTATCACAGCTCCTGAAGAAGGAGCCGACGCAGGGACACTTATCACAGCTCCTGAAGGAGGAGCCGACGCAGGGACACTTAAAAAGCTCCTGAAGAAGGAGCCGACGCAGGGACACTTATCACAGCTCCTGAAGAAGGAGCCGACGCAGGGACACTTATCACAGCTCCTGAAGAAGGAGCCGACGCAGGGACACTTATCACAGCTCCTGAAGAAGGAGCCGACGCAGGGACACTTATCACAGAACAGTCGTATTGTTGTCATCCCACGAGCATCTTCTGCCAGGCCCTTGTGTTGAGTTTCTTGCAGCCACCTGCCACCATAAACCACTTCCTCATGTTAGTGTAGGTCTTGGCGGTGTTGTCTTGGTGAAGTTTCTTACACAGGTCACAGAACCTCCGGGCCTTGTTAGACCATCCGTTCTCCACCACGTAGTGACCCTTCCACCTGTAACAGAGGGAAACTGGTAGTCAGGAGAAGTTACAGGTGTTGTAACTTAAACAATAATATCAACTGTCACAGTTGCACCAATATTATATTAACTCTCACGCATTCATACTATGTTCCATCGTCCATAAAATATCCTGTTTACAGGAGTTATCCATACAGCAATTTCTCTTATACTGTAGCAGAGAAAGCGAGATATTTCCCTGACAGATGTGTTTGTTAACTTTTCAATTGAATTAATCTAAACCCTGTATGTGAAGTATTAAGATATATGCCAAAAGATGAATGGGGCCTTCAAGGTCATGTGAGTATATGTTGAATGTCTTAACTGTCTGTAATTATTGTGTAAAGTGAACACGTCGGAGGCTCGCTGAATCAGTTTACAATGTGTTGTTCCTGTACCGTGATGTTGGGTCTTTGAGTGGAGAGTGAATTACATTCATGTGTTCTGTGAACATCAGAGAACGTCCCAAATACCTTTAATAGTATGTAATATGTCGCATTAGTAAGCTTGAAAACGTTAATCACCGAGAATGTCCAGCGTTTTCTCAAACTGTTTGTAAGTTGACACCTAAAGAGTTTGAAAAACGGTATCCAATGCGTGTTATAAATGCTTTGTGAACCAGTGAGAGCTCGTCCTCATTAGATCATATCGGCGCCAAAATGGCAATAATTCTCACCCAATGAGTGACTGACAATTTTTTCATGAATAGTGATCGAGCCATGTATAGAGCTGTGGACACCTTTCAGGTGATATAATTTATGGGATCATTAATAAACGACTGAGTTAAGCCTGTGAGTTAATACCTTGCATACGTAAACCTGTACAAGCAATATTCTGATTTGTAAACATTTCAATTTCATTACTTTACTCCCTCATGTCATTAACCTTTCCTTACCTAAAGTACTCATTATAAGCTGTGTCGTTGGAGTCGAGATACTTGAGGTAGTCGGTGAGGCTATCTAAGCTCTCGAAGTCGAGGACGTTGATGTGAGAGTGAGGTGGCGTGATGCTGGCGTAGTCCCCGAGTCCCAACACCACCGGCACCACGTTGTACCTACATGATCACGTCAGGTGAGGTGATTGATATAAGACACTATATTAGGTAGGAGTAGAAAGATAGATTAAATATTAAGAGACAGATAAACTTATGTCCACCACAAAACAGTTTACTAATACTGTGAATATGTCATTTACCTACGTCATTATGAGTGAAGGTATAACAAATTCTTAGAGTAACCTACTTTGTTTCATCTGATCCTCAACACCACTTTGGAGGCAGGAAAGTAAATAATAATTAATAATGCATCATACTCGTGGAAACTGAACGGCAGTGTTATTAGTGCGAAAATAAGACGGGAAACGAAAAAGAAAACGAGAGAAGATTACACAAAGAACAACGAGGGACATTAAGGTTTTAAATAACTAATGTTAACCTCGTGAGAAACATTTTAAAGCTCTATAAACTTGGGAACACTTTCACCTACTACAAGATTTACTTAAGAACACTTCCACTTGCAACACTTTAAGAACACCTCTAGCTATTACACAACTTACTGAAGAACACTGAAGAGTTTTTCAGTGACATAGTCTTTACACAATGAGTTCTCGAAGGACAAGTAGAACTTGTAGTCTCGCTCTAACATCTGGTAACACTGATGGGTCGTGTCTCTGGAGCACTCGAGCGGTCCACACTTGCCATACACGTCTATCTGTGGTATAATGGAGTCATACATGTCATACACTTGCCATACACGTCTATCTGTGGTATAATGGAGCCATACATCTGTCACACTTGCCATACACGTCTATCTGTGGTATAATGGAGTCATACATCTGTCACACACTTGCCATACACGTCTACCTGTGGTATAATGGAGTCATACATCTGTCACACACTTGCCATACACGTCTATCTGTGGTATAATGGAGTCATACATCTGTCATACACTTGCCATACACGTCTATCTGTGGTATAATGGAGCCATACATCTGTCACACTTGCCATACACGTCTATCTGTGGTATAATGGAGTCATACATCTGTCACACACTTGCCATACACGTCTACCTGTGGTATAATGGAGTCATGCTGTCATACAGATGCCATACACGTCCACTTAAGGTTCATACATACTCCGCCATACACACGTCCTTTGAAAAGCTATCTGTCTGCCATTGTTTAAATGAGATGATCAGAAATGAAGAATAAAAATTAAGTAATGAACTGTTAAGAAACCTTCATGACTTTCCAATTAAATAAGTGTCATTTAAATCTTAAGTTCAATAGGTTAAATTAATTAACTTTTAGCTCTCATAGTTTATTTTAATTGTATGAAAAATTTAACGTAGGATTTGGTAGAAAATATATCTATTTTAGTTATCGCTTAAAAAAAATTGCACCTATTTTCTTTGTATCTATTTAAGGAGTAACTTTAACATACACACCTTAATAAACTTCTGCATAAACCGGACTAGTTTCTCCCTCCTGGAGTGAGAGATACAGTTTGAGACAAACCACGCAGCCATCTTGGTCTTCCCGGCGGCGTAGTTAGTATTGAGATTAATGGTAGTTGGTGATGGAGACGTGATTGGTGTTACCTGACCATACCTGAAGGGGTAGAACCACGCAGGTGTTACTGTGTTATGACTTATGGGTACAAGTGACGGCATGCAGGTACAGGTTACGACATACAGTTTACGAAATACGGCTACAGGGATCGACAAAGAGTACAAAATTATACAGTCATCATCATACAAGTAGCTACGGGTGCTGACTTACGGGTAGGGGATGTCAGAGTTCCGTCTGTATGTCATGGTCCAATTAAACATGTTGTTGTAGTACCCGGGGTCTTGGTAGATGTAGGAGGCTGACTCTACCTCCCAGAACACCCAGCGCTGGTGAGGTGACCTGTGTAGGAGTGAGTGGGGAGAGAATAGGAGTGAGTGGGGAGAGAGCAGGAGGGAGTGGGGAGAGTAGGAGGGAGTGGGGAGAGTAGGAGGGAGTGGGGAGAGTAGGAGGGAGTGGGGAGAGTGGGAGGGAGTGAGAGGGAGTGAGTGATGGAGTGTGACTATCCGCAAAAATGTCAACAAGCATACTCACCACCCCATCAACACCTCGCAAATAATAATTCTAGTCACCTTCTTTGGGGTAACTTGTCACGTTCTACAGCCCGGAAGTGGAAGATGAGGGCGTCGAACTCTTGTAGGGGGACGAAGGATCTATTGGCCGTCATCATACACGTGTCCACCTCACACTGGGCGGTCACAAAGGGCGCTCGTCCGTAACCAAAGGACATAGTCTTGGTGCCGTAACCCTGCAGGAGATGCCGTGTTATTGGTACGTGTTTCTGGTTCGTGTTACATTAATTGAGTAATTTTGTAGGATTATTTTTACCATAAATGTTACAAGACTTCTAACTGTCCACAATTTACTTACTAAACCTCGCTCTTACGTCACCACCTCAAGTCTCACCTCAGCCCACACTAAGATGGTCTTCAAGGGTGGGTTGCGAGGATTAAGACCCACATCTGTGTGAAAAAACACTGGTGGCATCTTGTGGATCAAGAGAGGGGCACTGGCATTGTGGTTTGGCTCTAGATCACCCCTTCCACCAGTGTCCCGTCCACTAGTGCCACTCCCAGTCGTGCCAGTGACTGTTCTACTCGTATCATCACCAAGAGAGGCCGTCGGTGGCCCCTTCTCCACTATGGCCAGGTCTTCAGGTACGAGTCTATCCCATATCTTGGGTGACCTGGATGAAATGATTTGATTATTAGTTTATTCTGGATTATATGATTTTTTTTTAATTTTGGATTAAATAGAATAAATTAAGCTAAGTGACTAATTTACTGTATAGAGGGAGTGTTTTTTAGTGTTATCAGCGAGTTATGCTCTCTCTCACGTACACACAAACATACACACACGTACACATTCTAACACGTACAATCAAACACGCACACATTCAAACACGCACACACTCAAACACGTACACACACACGGACAGTACACAGCTATACCTGAAGTGACCGCCGACTTGAGCACTTCTGTGTACAGGATCGATCAGATTGTCCTCTCGCCCCTCGAAGAACACCACAAACGCCATGAACATCAACAGACAGCCGTAGAACACCTGCTGAACACCACAAAAACACCTTCTCAGTTATATAACACTGTTGAACACCTGGGGAACAGTAAATAACACGATCAATTAACTCCAAAACAGTCCTTCTTGATTATATAACTGGTGAACAAATTAATACTATGGCATCACACACCTAAGAGAACAGGTGATGGTGGTGGTGGTGACGACAGTGGACGCAATCAACCATAATAAACTTACTGTACAGTCACGCCTCCATGGCAGGTGTGTCTGTGTGTGACATGTATAGTTGATCACTTCACCACCAGGCGTCACTGCTGAGGCTGCTGGAATCCTTGACTAGTGTTGACAGTATTTTTTCGAGGCTCACCTCACCTTGAAATATGTGTAAATCTTCTACCGTTTCCATGATGCAACTATAATGTTCTTTGCTATTACTACTACTGTTACCTATATCTGCTATTACTACTATTACTACTTATACTATCACCTGTACTTGGTGCTACTATTACTACTGCTTCTACTACTACTACTACTATTCCCTAAATGAACAGACAGTAACACACGGAAGTAGCCCATTGACTTTAACAGTAAACTTACATAATTATTACCTGTAGTCATCACCTGTCACCTCATTACCTACCGGAAGTGGCGGGGTTCGATCGTGGGTCCTCAGAATGGTCAATTGAGAGAGAGAGAGAGAGAGAGAGAGAGAGAGAGAGGGGTGTTCGGAATCTGGGTGTTCGAGAGACGACTGGTCAAGGATTAGGCACAGCAAGATGGCATTTGGGTACAGAATATGTTCGTCAGTATTCAATCCAAGCTGGTAGGGAGGGAGGGAAGGTAGGTAGGGAGAAGGAGAGGGTGAAGGAGGGTGGTGAGGTGGGTGAGGAAGGTGGGTAGAAGGAGGAGGAGGAGGGAAGGAAGGAGGAGGAAGGAGGTGGAGTGCAGGAAGGAGGAGGAAGGAGGGAGGGAAGGTGGGAGGAAGAGGGTGGGAGGTGGGTGGGGAAGGGGAGGAGGAAGGTGGGTGAAAGGAGGAGGAGGAGGAGGAAGGAAGGAGGAGGAGGAAGGAGGGAAGGAGGAAGGTGGGTAGGGAAGGAGGGAGGGAAGGAGGAGGAGGAAGAAGGGAGGGAGGGAAGGTGAGGTAGGGGAAGGAGGGAAGGAGGAGGAAGGTGGTGGGGAAGGTAGGTAGGAAGGAGGGAAGGTAGGTAGGGAAGGGAGGGAGGAAGGTGAGTGAGGAGGGAGGGAAGGAAGGGGGAAGGAGGGAGGGAAGGTAGGTAGGGAAGGAGGGAGGGAAGGAGGGAGGGAAGGTAGTGGTAGGTAGGCTTATATGAAGACTTAAGATTTATGAGTTGAAAAAAACTAATGCGTCAATTATCAAAAGAAAATTCCAATATATAACTTAATATTTTCGTTCATTATTAAGGCTTTATTTCCGGTGTGAATGATCTATTATGAACTTGAACTATATTAATGGAGTCAGGTTTCCATATAGTACGAAAGATAGGAAAGTTCGATCTTTTGGGTATGCGTGTGGTAAGGGACTCTGAGGCAGATGGCGTTGGTATCGGTGAGAACGTCGTCTCTTTCTTTACCGAATACGTCAACTTGAGTGGAGCCAACCATACCTCACCCCTGTTTCCTGTACAGAAAATCCAAAGAAATTCATCCTACTTTTATATTTCATCAATTCCCCCGACAACAGGAACAGTTGAGTGTATATAATTACAATACATAATTAACATAATACATGAATGTTGGAGTGTGTGCCGGTTTAACACCACTGTATCGGTCACAACGGATGTGGACTTGTGAAGCTCAGTTCCGGCTCAGACGTCTCGCTTTGAATACATGTCCGTCCCCCCCCACCCCCACCCTTCAGTCATCCCATTACACCCTTCAGTCATGTCCCCCCACCAACCCACACCCCCTGTCATCTTCGCCAATAAATGGACTATGGACGCGGCCTTTACATCCTAACATGGAGCAGTGAGTCTGATATGAATAATAACACAAGAAGCAGAGGTGGAATTTGAGATTAACCCCCCCCCCACCACACTCCTCCACCCCTCTCGGAACTAGATTTTATTTAGGGCCTTGCCGCTAGATGGCGCCGATTCAGGCTTTGCGGCTCTCGGTTCATTCAATAGTTTTCCTGCAAGCTTTCCCATCTTTCTTATATCTAGTCTTGGTCCAGAGGAGACTGTAATGGCCTCCCACACGTCACAAAACAATAAAAACGGCTTAAATTATAAAGAATCAATTTCCTATATCGTAATAATTATTGTAGTTTATTTTATAGTTTATTATTCAGGCGAGTTCAAGTTATATTAACAAGTAAATCCGGATATAGAAGTCAATTATCTTTTAACAGGAAAACGATAACATTCTCAACAACAATGACAGGATATACAGCGTCATAATTGGTTAACGTTGTCTCATTGTGTTGGTGGTGGTGTTGGTGTTGTCGACGGAACCCCTACGCTCTGGATTCTACATCACGACGATTCAGTAACAAGAACTTCACTGGTAATATAATCTACTTGACCTTCGCGTTAATGTATCGGCAGGAAAGGGGCGGCTCCCGATGGTGATTAGCATATGTGTGAGTATTATAGTGGTTTGTTAAAATGGCTTGGTTATACCTCGCTAGTTTGTCCCCCAACACTCGCCGCCACCACCACCACCTCTCCAACAGCATCTCCCCAACACCTTTCCCAATACTCACCACCACCACCAACACTCGCCACCAACACCACCTCCCCAACAGCACCTCCCCCAACACTCACCACCACCACCACGTCCCCCACCACTCCACCGCCACCTCCCCCACCAAGAAGATAAATAAATTAAAGAAGACAAAATCCCCAGGGCCGGATGAAATTTTCCCTCTAGTCTTGAAAGTGTAGGGAACAGATTAGCGGACCCCTCGTAAATTTGTTCACAAAATCATTAGACACGGGAGTTGTACCAGACTTGTGGAAACAGGCAAATGTAGTACCTATATACAAAAAGGGAGACAGAGCATCAGCGTTAAATTACCGGCCGATCAGTTTGACGTCAGTAGTGGGGAAATTTCTTGAATCAATTATAGCAGATAGCATCCGATCGCATGTAAAGAAAAGCAAATTAATCTACGACTCGCAACATGGGTTTACAAAGGGAAAATCTTGTCTAACAAATCTGCTGACGTTTTTTAGGAAAGTCTTCGAGGTAGTAGATAATGACGAAAATTACGATGTTATTTACTTAGACTTTAGCAAAGCATTTGACAGAGTACCGCATCAGAGGCTTCTGAGAAAAGTTAAGGCTCATGGTATCGAGGTGAAAGTTTTAAATTGGATAAAATCATGGCTCACCGATAGAACGCAGAGGGTCAGCGTAGATGGTGCAATCTGAGTGGGGCCGTGTAACCAGTGGGGTTCCCCAGGGTCAGTACTAGGCCCACTCTTGTTCATAATCTACATAAACGATCTAGATACTGGGATCAGCAGTGACATAAGCAAGTTTGCGGATGACACCAAAATAGGGCGGCAGATTAATTCAGGGCAGGATGCAAATGCACTACAGGAGGATTTAAATAAACTGCAGGAGTGGTCAGAAAAATGGCAAATGAAATTCAACACGAGCAAGTGCAGCGTACTTAATATTGGAAGATTAATACTGTTAATGTACACAGCCTTACAACATCAACCTAGAGAAGTCGACTTGTGAAAGAGACTTAGGGGTATTTGTAAGCCCGGACCTACGGCCTAGAAAACAGTGCGTTAATGTTCGAAATAAGGCAAACAGAGATGTAGGTTTTATATCTAGAAGTGTAAGTAATCAGAGTGCGGAGGTCTTATTGCAACTATATCTTGCGCTAGTCAGGCCGCACCTCGATTATGCGTTTCAGTTCTGGTGCCTATTATAGAATGGATATCACTGGAGTCTGCAGGGAAGAATGACGAAAATGATTCCGGGACTTGAAACCTTTTCATATTAAGATAGGTTAAAGAACCTAAACTTGCATTCCCTAGAAAGACGAAGAGTGCGGGAGATATGATAGAAGTAATAAGTGTGTGAAAGGAATCAAAGGAGATATAGATAAAGTTCTTATAATATCCGAGCAGGATAGGACTCGTAGCAACGGATTTAAGTTGGATAAGTTTGGGTTTGGGAAGGAGATATGAAGGAACTGTCTCACAAATAGGGTGGTGGACGAGTGAACGTAAGCAACTATGTAGTGAGTGCTGGAACACTGGAGAGTTTTAAAAGGAGGCTGGATAGATTCATGGATGATAGAGAGTGGTAGTAACTCTCGACAGGAGCTGCCATGCACGGGCCAACCGGCCTATTGCAGACTCCTTATTTCCTTATGTTCTTATGTATTCCCCACCGCCACTTCCCCAACACTAACCACCGCCACCCTCCCCACCACAGCCACATCCCCCACCACTCACCGCCACCACACCTTCCGCCACCACACCTTCCCCCACACTCCTCACACCACCACTACCACGTCCTGCAACACCTTCCGCCACCTTCCCACCACCACCTCCCCCAACACACCCCACCAACCACCACCACCTCCCCAACACACCCCACCCCAACACACCCCACCACCAACACTCACCAAAACCACGTCCCCAACACTAACCACCACCTCCCAACACACCCCACCACCAACACTCACCACCACCCCAACACTCACCAACACTGCTGCCACCAGCACTCTGCTGCCACCAACACTCGCCGCCACCCTCCAACACACCCCAGCACCACCACCACCTCCCCGACACTCACGCCACCACCACCTCCCCCAACAACACTCGCCACCACCACCTCCCCTGACACCTGCCACCACCACCTCCCTGACACCTGCCACCACCACCTCCCCCACACTCGCCACCACCACCTCCTGACACTCACCACCTCCCTCCCCCGACACTCACCACCACCTCCCTCCCCCCCTGACACTCACCACCACCTCCCTCCCCTGACACTCACCCACCACCTCCTCCCCTGACACTCACCACCACCTCCTCCCCTGACACTCACCACCACCTCCTCCTGACACTCACCACCACCTCCCTCCCCCAACACCTGCGCCGCCGCCCCCTCCCCCAACACTCACCACCAACACTAGCCACCACCACCACCTCCCTGACACCACCAACACCAGCCACCACCACCACCCCCGACACTCGCCACCGCCACCACCACCTCCCCAACACTCTGCCACCAACACTCACCACCAACCTAGCCACCACCACACCCCCTGACACTCTCGCCACCACCACCTCCCCCAACACTCGCCACCACCACCTCCTGACACCTCACCACCACCACCCCTGACACTCTGCCACCACCACCCTGACACTCGCTGCCGCCACCACTACATCCCCAACACTCACCACCACCACTAGCCACCACCACCACCTCCCCAACACTCGCCGCCACCACCACCACCTCCCAACACCTGCCGCCACCACCACCACCTCCCCAACACCTGCCACCACCACCACCTCCCCCAACACTGCCGCCACCACCACCACCTCCCCAACACTGCCGCCAACACACTAGCCACCACCACCACCCCCAACACTCACCACCAACACCACACCACCACCCCCCAACACTGCCGCCACCACCACCACCTCCTCCCCCCAACACTCGCCACCACCACCAACACTCACCACATTCCAACACCAGCCACCACCACCTCCCCCACCACCACCAACACCTGCCCCACCAACACCAGCTGCCGCCACCACCACACCTCCCCCCAACACTCGCCACCACCACCTCCCCTGACACTCACCACCACCTCCGACACTCACACCACCACCACCTCCC